CACCAGTCGACCGGTTTTGTCCCCTCTCGTCAGAACTGTTAACGGGGAACTAAGATTATGAAGAAAAGAAAAAAGTCTGTGATGGATGACATGAATGAATGGATAGGGAAGTTTTTTTTTTCTTCCTTCTGACGAGAGGGGACGAAACCGGTCGACTAGTGTGTGCTTTGTTTTAAACTTATCATGGCCTACAATACAAAAATTTCTTGTTTTTAATGCCTTAATATATATATATATATATATATATATATATATATATATATATATATATATATAAAGAAATATCAACCGAATGCAGAAAGCACTTGACGGCGTTTCGTCCTTTATTTGGGACTGATCAATCAGCAGTGCGCATCTACAACCGTGAATTGAAACCCGGGCAGTTACGATATGAGGCAAACGTCATACCAAATGTATCAACGGGTCTCGGTGACAAAGAGGTAACGAATTAGACTGGATAGAGAGCCGCTCGTTAAAACATTTCGTGGTAGAATTCATCCAAGTTTCCCTTTACCCATAGGAGAGCTACGACTACTATCACCAACCCGCTCCACCCAGAGCAAGGATGTACAAGTGATAAAAATTAAGGAGGATTTGAGATAATTATAATTAAGTAGTTCATCGGGTCTAGAAGAAACCTCAACCGAAAGCACTGGACGGCCGTTTCATCATTTATTTAGGATCAAAGTGTAGTATCTGCGCTTTGTAAGCTGTCGGGTGTCTGTCGAACTCTCAGCTTGCAGAGAGGAACCCGGACGAAGCTCCGCCGAAGGGTAGGGTTTCGTTGGGGGAAGTTGACGGAACTGGCCCGCCTCGGCGGGTTTGGATCGTTATTTATTTTTGGCTGGGCCTACGGGCTCAGAGATACCCACATTAAAAAGGCCTTGTGCCACATTCGATCCCCGTGGGTGGATTGATAAATACCATAATTTATTTGGGACTTAGCTGTGGGCCTCAATACCGAGAAAATATGATATATATATATATATATATATATATATATATATATATATATATATATATATGTGTGTGTGTGTGTGTGTGTGTGTGTGTGTGTGAGAGAGAGATTGAGAGGGAGGGAGGGAAAGAGAGTTTTCTTCTAACAAAAGGAATTTTAAATACTGTTTGCATTTTTGTGAAGAATCCTCTCTGAAATTTTACTTGTACGAATTTTCTCACTGAGAATATGGCGTTAACTTTATTCAAATCCCAAGCACACAAAAAAATATATCACTTGATAAATATTTTTTGGCAGTGAACAGACACACTTTTGCTTTCGGACAAACATTGCGTATCATGACTCTATTAAAAACAAAAAAAAAATCAATGTATTCACCTCAGCCTTTCTGAACGCCATCTATAATTCCAGCACGTTTCTCTATTTCAGTGCACATGCGCCCAAAAAACAAATGAAAAAGAAATGTCTTTTAGCGATACTTTCTCGCTTTGACGTAATACAAATCCTTAGGATTTTCATCTTGAGCTAATTTATCTCCGATTACCTTGTTTATATTATAACTCTTTATTTTTTTCATTTTTTTTTTTTGTATCTCTTATTTATATTTCGCCATATCTCATTAGCTTGCTCCAGCTGCTGAGGGGTCAATTCGCATTACTTGCAGTTGAAAACGTGAAATTTCCACAGGGACTAGGTTACGTGAGGAAACGAGCAACCTCATCATGGTTGCGTTGATAACAAATTGCGCATGCGTACAGAAGAGCTATTAAAAATATACGAAAGATGCTGCTGGTTGGAAATATGGTACAGCTGAAGGCATGATTTCTTGAAAGACACGTATCTGGAAATTTAACAGAAATAACAATATTTTGCTGCGGCAGCGAAAGAAAATATATGAACAACGTTTATTTCATTCATATGCAGCATTATATTATACATAAAGCGAGATAATCATAAAGTATCTGTGGCGTTCTGTATTCTAAAAAAAAGTTATTGTATTTGCAGGATTGGAAGTTGCTACCAGATAACTTTTATCGTTTATCAGCTTGATTAAAAGACATCAATTCGGTTTTATTTTTATTTTTGCATTCCTGATTTTGCTTCAGGAGAAATAGCTGTGCTTGGATAAAAGAGTAGATGTCTCTATAAAATCAGTCATATTGAATTCCATCGCAGACTCATAGTTTGAAGATAGATTATTTTTTTTCATTTTCAAAAATCCTTAAGAACGGACTGAAAACATAACAGCGTCACGAAATCGGAAACACAAGTGCTGTAACTATACAAGTTATACATAAGTAAAATGTATTATTAATATATACCCTATATTTAGTAGGAATACGTGTTTGAGTTTACAAAGAAATTTCAGCAAAATTATTTAGAATTGACGCTTAGAATTTGACTGGTAAGCATAAAGAATATCGACTTTCTATTTGGCATGATCTTTTGAATAATCCAGAGTTCTTCGAGAACATTATCGTCATTGATAAAAAAAAACCTGGTGTTTTTAATAAGACTTGTTAATATCTCTGACGTCTACTAATATTTGACTAAATTACTTAAATGTATTCCGGGAAATTGGTTCCATGAATGATTCCAACAATGGTATCATCGTCTTTCGAAATGCATAGCTTCATCGTCGGCCACGATCTGCTATCAACACTCTCATCTGCATATCTTACGTCGTTACGTAAGATATGCAGATGACATTGTTGATAGCAGACAGAGAAAGAAAACTACAAGAACTTTTACAGAGGTTAGTGAAAGAAAGCGAGAAGAAAGGACTAAACATCAACCGAAAGAGGACAAAATGCATGGTTGTCATGAAACGAAACAGCCGGAATTGCAAATTATTAATTGGAGATACCAAACTAAAGCGAGTACAACTAAATAAACATCTCGGAAATATTTTAATAAATGACGGAAATACCGAAATAAGAACGGGAATAACGAAAGGTGTCATCCAAAAACTAAGCAAAGTATTAGCAAACAGGAAAAATTCATTAGAAACAAAGAAAATAATGCTAAATTGTTACTTAATGTCGATCCTACTATATAGCAGTAAATACTGGACAATCTCATTACAGATCAAGTAAAAAAAAAACTGAAGCAAAAGGAATGTGGTTTGACAGAATGATAGTGAGGATACTATGGACTGAACGTGTCACCAACGATAAAGATTTAAAGAATGTGTAACCAAAAAATAGCAGGAAAAAAACAGTTGGTATTTTTAGTGTTCATAATAAAGAAAGATGGCTTGGAAAATTTGATACTCACAAGGCATAATGACGACAATAGAGACGGCGGCAAACAACACTTAAAATACCGAGCAAGCGTGAGCAAATGGATGGTAGAAAAGGTTTTAGTGGAGATAGCACAGAGACAAATTTATTAAAAGCTACAAAGGGAAGGAAAATGTGAGGAGTCATGATCGTCAATATCGTGAATGGACATGCCAAATAGAAGGAGAATAAATGTGAAAATCAGCTAACCGTGAAAAGGTAGTTAAACCTAATCTTCATGTTGTTATTGCTGGAATTGTCACAAGTCTAATCTGATATATGATACGATGTCTGACATACAGTTCGTAAATACATACTTTTCTCACCATGTTATTTTTATCTACAATTTGTTTATATAAAGCATTTATAAAATGGCATTATAATGTAACCTCATTTTCCTGAATGACATGTTGCTATAATAATTGGACACTATATCTCGTAGATATCTTTACGTTGGTTACATACAGTTTTAAATTGGCCAAGGAGATGATGCCAGTTTGGTAGGGGGTCGTCTAGAGTTGACAGTAAGCGTTGTGTTTTTTTTTCAGTCAGTAATGTACTATGCGTGATAGACGCTTAGGCGATCATGTATCTTTCGATACATGACTGACTGATAGATAATAATCTTTATTAAATGAAATCTATAAAATAGCCTTCAATCTTTCAGATCTGCAAACCAAATAAAAACGGACAAAAATTACTCCAGGTTAAATTCGAGATATATTGCATTGGCGGAGACAGAAAAACCGAAAAAGAACGATTCAAAATTGTGAAAATGTAATGGTGGCGTAGGGAGGAGGAAGAAAACCCGAGGATTTATTCTTAGCAGACTGTAATTTTCGAGTTGACCTATGAAATATGACACACTCTACACTATCAACTCAAAGCTTAAAGTCTACTGAGAGTAAATACTCGGGTCTTCTTCCTCCCACCTACACCTTCATTCAGTCAGTTATGTGCCATGCGTGATACACGCTTAAGCGATCATATATCATTCGATACATGACTGACGAGGCGGATTTTTTTTCCCGTAGTAGGTTGCTATTTCTTTCTGCGGTAAAGTAGTTGCCATCCAAGGCTATAGAACCTGGTCTGTCCTGTTATTTATCCATAGCTGGAGGGAGAAGTAGAGGATTAATACCTTTCCCAAGGGTTTTAGCATGTAAGTGAATGTAATAGATTCGACTGGAAATCGAACACAGTTCTCCGATTCCTCAATCCGAACCGCTAACCATTACTCCACCGTGCACCAAAAGATACATGAATGACACATAACTGACAGGGAGGCAGGGTGGAGTAATGGATAGCGGCTTGGATTGAATTCCACTCGAATCCATTACATTCACTTATGAGCTAATACCCTTGGGAAAGGTGTGAATCCTCTTCATCTCCCTTCAGCTATGGGTGAATAGCAGGACAGACTGGATTCTATAGCTTTGGATCGCTCTGGTCTAGGAGATTGAAAACTCTGAATTCAAAACCTGCGGTGGGTTGTTTGGGGACCTTGTGGCACGTAGTGCACTAGTGTTTCACAAAGTGTGGATGACGAAACCTTCAATACTATAATCAAATCCCATGCGGGTTGGGAACCGCTTGTGAAATCCAAATTCCCATGAAACTCCAATATTGGAGCCGGTTCAAGCCACCTCGGGTGAATGGCGTTACAAGAGAGAGAGAGATAACTGACTGACTGGGTTTCTTACTGACTAGGAAAAGGGGGTTGACCTTCCTCTTGATTCATTAAGCCGTGATATTTTCCTTTATGACTGGGCTGAAAAAGAGTAAGTCTTGTCAGAAGAAAGAGAAGACCTGATCTTGTCAGAAAAAAGAGAAGACCTGATCTTGTCAGAAGAAAGAGAAAATCGTTCTCTTTTCAGAAGAAAGAGAAGACCTGATCTTGTCAGAAAAAAGAGAAAGTCGTTCTCTTGTCAGAAAAAAGAGAAGACCTGATCTTGTCAGAAGAAAGAGAAAATCGTTCTCTTTCAGAAGAAAAGAAGACCTGATCTTGTCAGAAGAAAAGAAGACCAGATCTTGTCAGAAGAAAGAGAAAGTCGTTCTCTTTTCAGAAGAAAGAAAAGACCTGATCTTGTCAGAAGAAAGAGAAAATCGTTCTCTTTTCAGAAGAAAGAGAAGACCTGATCTTGTCAGAAGAAAGAGAAGACCTGATCTTGTCAGAAGAAAGAGAAAGTCGTTCTCTTGTCAGAAGAAAGAAAAGACCTGATCTTGTCAGAAGAAAGAGAAAATCGTTCCCTTTTCAGAAGAAAGAGAAGACCTGATCTTGTCAGAAGAAAGAGAAGACCTTATCTTGTCAGAAGAAAGAGAAAGTCGTTCTCTTGTCAGAAGAAAGAGACCTGATCTTGTCAGAAGAAAGAGAAGACCTGATCTTGTCAGAAGAAAGAGAAAGTCGTTCTCTTGTCAGAAGAAAGAGAAGACCTGATCTTGTCAGAAGAAAGAGAAGACCTGATCTTGTCAGAAGAAAGAGAAAGTCGTTCTCTTGTCAGAAGAAAGAGAAAGTCGTTCTCTTGTCAGAAGAAAGAGAAGACCTGATCTTGTCAGAAGAAAGAGAAGACCTGATCTTGTCAGAAGAAAGAGAAAGTCGTTCTCTTGTCAGAAGAAAGAGAAGACCTGATCTTGTCAGAAGAAAGAGAAAGTCGTTCTCTTGTCAGAAGAAAGAAAAGACCTGATCTTGTCAGAAGAAAGAGAAAATCGTTCCCTTTTCAGAAGAAAGAAAAGACCTGATCTTGTCAGAAGAAAGAGAAAGTCGTTCTCTTGTCAGAAGAAAGAGAAGACCTGATCTTGTCAGTAGAAAGAGAAGACCTTATCTTGTCAGAAGAAAGAGAAAGTCGTTCTCTTGTCAGAAGAAAGAGAAGACCTGATCTTGTCAGAAGAAAGAGAAGACCTGATCTTGTCAGAAGAAAGAGAAAGTCGTTCTCTTGTCAGAAGAAAGAGAAGACCTGATCTTGTCAGAAGAAAGAGAAGACCTGATCTTGTCAGAAGAAAGAGAAAGTCGTTCTCTTGTCAGAAGAAAGAGAAAGTCGTTCTCTTTCAGAAGAAAGAAAAGACCTGATCTTGTCAGAAGAAAAGAGAAGAGATCTTGTCAGAAGAAAGAGAAGACCAGATCTTGTCAGAAGAAAGAGAAAATCGTTCTCTTTTCAGAAGAAAAGAAGACCTGATCTTGTCTGAAAGAGAAGAAAGAAGAAAAAGTCGTTCTCTTGTCAGAAGAAAGAAAAGACCTGATCTTGTCAGAAAAAAAAGTTGTTCTCTTTTCAGAAGAAAGAGAAGACCTGATATTGTCAGAAGAAAGAGAAGACCTGATCTTCGTTCTCTTGTCAGAAGAAAGAGAAATCGTTCTCTTGTCAGAAGAAAGAGAAGACCGTTCTCTTGTCAGAAAAGAGAAAATCGTTCTCTTGTCAGAAGAAAGAGAAAGTCGTTCTCTTGTCAGAAGAAAGAGAAAGTCGTTCTCTTGTCAGAAGAAAGAGAAGACCTAATCTTGTCAGAAGAAAGAGAAAGTCGTTCTCTTGTCAGAAGAAAGAGAAGACCTGATCTTGTTTGAAAATGATAGTTTTCATAATAGTAAACACAATAGAATATTTACAAAATGTTGATATATTTTAATACCTCAGGATGGGTTAGCGACTTAGAACCAAAGTGCGTATTCTCAAAATTTTATCAGAGAATCGAACATCGAATTAATTTCAGGCGACTATAACCGCGTGTGTGTTGATCAGCCAATTATCGATGTGTCTTTCCTGTCGATTCTCCCACTTGAGTCCATGGCTCACTTTCTGCCTTTTGCTAAAATGCTGTATATATTGTGAACCATCTACCCACGCGTTTTCTCAACATCCTTTGATCACAAGAGGGGCCAAAAACGTCATTTCCTCTGGTTTGTTTTTAACATATCCAAACTTTAAATAGCGCCAGCCTTTAAGGCCATCTTTCAAACTAACAATTTTCCATATTCGTCTGATAAGCGTTTAGGCGAACATAGACAAAAGAAACGGTGTCACCTATCAAAATCTTTCAGTCCTTTGAACAACTGATGTTTTCACAATCAAATTTCCTGGGAAAATTTGACTTCACGGAAAGATTCAACCTTATGATTTTTTCTGTTCCATTAGCTAGCACCAAAACCCAGAAATATGAAATACACTTCTCTAAAAAAGAAGTTACTTTGTTACAGTATCTCATCACTCAAAGTAATTCATATTAGATGTCAAGACTTTTAGCATCGTTAGATTGAAATAGAACAAACCGATAAAACAAAGGTCTAATTTAACTAATTTCAGAATTCTGCATTTCAATATCGACGGTACGATCCATCTCTAAAGATGCAAATAATGTGGCCGGCTCCCTGTTCTGGTCAATGTAGTACCTCAGTCTTCGCGCTATTCTCTATATGAGCCAGATTAAGCCGAAAATAGAGTACTACTGTCACATACCGGGTGTAAGAGCTAAATTTATAAAAATCGTGTAACAGAAAAATTGTCCAATTGTTAGATTAAAAATTTGAACCATTGTATCTTAGAAATAATTAAGGCTATCTTACCGGAATTCTCCGAGCTTTTTATAACGCTACTGGACACTAGTTTGGGCAATAAGAATAAGAAGATGAAATGATCCCACATTCTGTTGTGATCTCCTAAACCAGTTTTCCTCTACACTGTTCTCTTGTTTAAAACTTATTCACTGATTTCTTGATGATTCTTGAATGCACTTTGAAGATGGAAGCCAGACTTGATACAATTACTGTAGGCCTAAATGATCTTTTCCTCCCATCATTGCTCAATTGAGAAGAGATAGTTGAGCAGACACAAAACAATTTTAAACTTTATTGCATATTCTCTTTGTAGCTGAATAACTCGAAAGATTTTCTAGTGATGCTTACGAAAAATGGTGTCACGATGGCTAACCATCTTAACTGAAACCCGAATAAAAAAACTCTCGTACTGTTCTCTCATTTTTAAACTTATTACCATTCTCTTGATCGTTCTTGAATGCACTTTGAAGATCGAAGCCAGAATATTAATGTTGGTACTATTGTTGTAAGATTTTCCTCCCACCATTGCCCAGATGAGAAGACAGATACAAAAGAGTTTTAACCTTTGTAACCTGTCGTCTTTCTACCTGAATAACTCAAAATGTCTTTTTAGTGAATCTTACGACAAATGGTATCATGATGGATAATAATCATAACTGAAAAACTGAAAAACTAAAAAACAAATTCAATCAGTTTAGTGGGTTTTTAGATATTAAATATTTTGTAGGATGGACAATTATTTCATGCTTTTACACGATTTGGCCTGAATAACTCAAAATGTTTTTTTAGTGAATCTTACGACAAATGGTATCATGATGGATAATAGTCATAACTGAAAAACTGAAAAAATAAAAAACAAATTCAATCAGTTTAGTGGGTTTTTAGATATTAAATATTTTGTAGGATGGACAATTATTTCATGCTTTTACACGATTTGGCCTGAATAACTCAAAATGTTTTTTTAGTGAATCTTACGACAAATGGTATCATGATGGATAATAGTCATAACTGAAAAATTGAAAAAATAAAAAACAAATTCAATTAGTTTAGTTGGTTTTTAGATATTAAATATTTTGTAGGATGGACAATTATTTCATGCTTTTACACGATTTGGCCAATTTTGTTGTTCACACCCAGAGGAGCTGTCTAAACTTCACTTCCAACTCCCCATACAGTCTAAACGCGTCTCTGCGTCCTTGTGGGTAATGAACTATTTTCCAACCCCTTTCCCACAGACGAGACCTCTCAAGCCTCTCACTGCTCTATCGCTATTTCCATAGTGAATGTTCAGAGGAATTACACTCCTTAGTTCCACCAGCTCTAACCATACCGGCTAAGACCCGCCATGCTACGCATATTGTAGCGAATCACCAACATTCACTTCATACTCCTATTCGTGTGGGATGTAAGTTCCACTGGAACAGGCTCCCAAGAGGCTGCTTCCCCGATTAAGTCTAGGTTTAACCGTTATCTACCGCACATATCCGCATAATCTGTGTTTCTTAATCTGTAACCTTCTACCACAAATGACCCAAGAATCTTGTACAGGGTAAACATCATGATAACAAAAATGTTTTCTTGAAAAAAAATCAGCTGAGAAAGGTCTAAACTCTTCAAACCTACTCTTTTGCAATCGCTTGACACCAGTGCCCTTCTGCAAGGTTTGAATCTATAATGCTAAAGTCGTTATATAATTGCTAGTCAATAACCAACGTTCGGATTCTTGTCTTTCTGTTATACCTCCACACGAGGGGGATCTGGAGGCGGTGTAATGTTACCAAGTTTGTCTCGTTAGAACAATTACGACGGAATAGTGAGTTCGAGCCTCCCTGAGTGCCCTATACATTCGGCCTTGTGCCAAATCTAAGCCAAGCTTGGAAAAACAATACACTTCCTCCTCAGATAAATTAACAGAACTTGTATATTAATTTTCTGGTATGTAAAACACTGGGTTAATGTGCCAGACAACATTTGTACGCGCACACGTCCGGATATATTCCAATTTTTGCTTTCTTGAGATGCAGACCATATGAGTTATTTTTGCCGAAGAGTAGAGGAAAATGCATGTGTTCATATTAAACTATACCTGGGAATATTTCTGGATTATTTTATCGAATGAAAGTCTTCTGCTCTAGCATTACCATTCAATTGATAAATATTAATGAAACGGAAGCTGTAGAGACCATAATATTCTAAGTGATGAATGTAAAATGGCATTTTATAAATGAATATCACATGAAAACAAAATTTTTAAACACATTTTCGCATATTTTTTGCGAGGACACCAAAATTCTGATCATTAACAACTTAAGATAATCTTTATAGAAAATTATTGCTTGGTAAGAAGCATAAACAATGTTAATAATGAAGTTGGAAATGAAATAAAATAGATTTAAAATCGGGTATTTTGATAAGAATATTTTCATATATATATATATATATATATATATATATATTAACAGTATTAATCTCTTGAAGAAACCCGGATGACTCAAGTTGTAGACACCTGAGGACAAATTGGTACCCTAGGAAAAAATTGGAATAAAAAAAAGGAAAGAACTAAAAACATCAGAATAAGGCGAAACAAATCGCCAAGTGTCATAAGTCCTTAGTCCGAAGAAAAAAACCTGAGCGAATATAAAGACTAAAACGTAGAGTGCTCAATAAAGTGGTAAATTAGAATAAGTCCGTAACGAAGCAGGAAAATGTATATTCCACCCAAACTGATTTTCAGGGTAAACTGGCTAAACCTGAAACCTAGGTTGGTTTGACTCGCTCGTTAAGGATATATATATATATATATATATATATATATATATATATATATATATATATATATATATATGGTTAAACCTTCAGAGCCAGGCAGATTTAACCTAAGCGGATAGTCAGGGAAGGCCAGCCGTTCCTGACGATCCGCTTAGGTGAAATGTTGGTAGGTTTCTCTGGCTCTCTAGGTTTAACTAGGTCTGCTCTACTTAATGTATTGAGCACTTTATTTAGTTATTTAGCCTACTCATATTGGGGTTTTTTTCTTTGTGCTTTGGACTTGCAAGCTGGACGATTATTTTTGGCTAACATACATGTTCTTGGTTCTTTCTTTTTTTATACCTTTTTTCCCTTTAATATTGGTTTGATTAATTGCAAATCAAGACACCGAAGTTTTTCCGAACGAGTAAAATTTTTTATACTTATAAGATTACTGCTACTACTACTAATTCTACTACTACTAATTCTACTACTACTACTACTACTACTACTATATATATATATATATATATATATATATATATATATATATATATATATATATATATTCATGCTCTTATTGACATAAAAACGGCGCCGAAGAGCGTGGATGAGAGAAAATAAAACTCACCGAAACGTGGAGAATCAAAAGATATTCAAAAAAAAAAAGCAACAAAAAAAAAAAAGAAAAACAAATCTAACCAATTATTGCTGCCCGTTTTTCTATTCATTTCCATTCACTTATTTTTGTCATTATTCATATATATGTTTTGTTCTCGACTGACATCTAAGAAACAGGCTGAAATCTTATTCTTCAATTAGATCAAAGCACAGCAAATAGAACAATGATGACCGTCTAAATTTTATTTTACACAATTTATATTGTTCGGACTGTGTCTCCATCATTATTGTTATATTCACGACGTTTCGGCCGTTGTACGCTCCGGTCTTCTTCAGGTGATATACGTTGGAATTTATTTAATCCACTGGATAGATTGTTCTAGTTCCACATGCCATAGCTTTTCTGAATATCTCACTTTCAGTTAATTCAATTTTGTAACTCAGTTCCCCAAGTTTTTGTTCATCTCTGCTTTGGCCAGCCACTCAACTCTTTGGATCAAGTGACTTTTTAGATTACTTCAACGAACGCTTTTATCCACTGGGCCATGTTTTTAGATATATTTGTTGTAGTTTTTTATTTATAATTTCATAGTGTGTAATATTTTGTTTCAAATCATTGCTCTTTCACGTTTAAATATATTTGCATATGTGAGGGCGACTGAAAAGTCGTAGGTTGCTTATGAAGACTCGGAGCCAGAGCAGTGAAATTTTGCATGAAGTTGTTTCAACTATTCCTATTAATAATCGTATTGTTTCTTTCTAGGGTAACTGTTCAAAGAAGACTTCATCAGTAACTGTTAGTGACTTCTCTTGAAAATGGACAAAATTTGGCATCGTGGTCTTTATCAAATACATTCAGAAAAAGGATTTAGCCCCAAGGATATTCATGCTGACATAATTGCTACATTAGGGAAATACGTGTCAGCTTCATTATCAG